ATCTATTAATTAAAAAAAAATATAACACATCTGTATATAGTTTGTAACGAATACAGTTTACCAATATCATTGTCTCAATCTTACGAACACAAAGTTGCTGAAAACAAAAAAGACTGTGTGACTCTTTCGATCAACAGTATGTGAGAAACCATCCTTTTTCAGGGATTGGAACTAGTTATATTAAATAGCTTTGGCTATTAATTGTATGCATATATTGTATATTTAACTCGATATTCCAGCATTACATCTCAATACCCAGGTGGCTATTAACACGCCTATTGATTTATTGATGATTTAGCGCCTATTACTCTAAGTGTTGGTAAATATTGATATAACGGAGTGTTCAAACTATCAAAAAAGTCTATGTAAACATGATTAAGATCAAATACATGTAATCTAATTTTACTTGTATCACGCTTTTTCATTTACGTGTTTATTCAGTCTATCAATTGATCGGTCGGAGATATGAGAATGTATTTTGGGGCTTTATAAACAAATTGCAATTAAAATAATTATTGGTCACATGGTCAAATTCTAAGAAAAGTCAAAAGATATCATACCTAAAATGTTAGGTTTCAATGTAATATCGTCTAACACTAGAACTCCGCAAAAGAAATTTACTTAATCGAGCGGAGACTGGAATCAATTTGTTCGTGGCGACATAGGGAATTTAAACAACGGCCTTTGTTTGATCAATGCGTCGCAAATTAAAATGCTGCCACTTTTAGTTTTTAAATAAAATCTTGTTTTTAAATGTAGAAGATAAAAGTATAAAAGTTTTCAAAAGTACGAGATGATATATTTCAAAATAACATACAGCAGGGGTTATGTTCCTTTGTTTACTGGTTCGAATGTATATTATGGTCTATCTTAATCAGTAAACGAATGTTCTCCTACAATAAAGTCTATTCTCCATAAATTCATATTTTATTGAACACAGACTGTCTGACTAGCGAGGCGATAGTAACATAACTAGCATGCCGAGAGACTTGGATATTTAGAAAAAAAAAAAAAAAAAATTCGACAAAATTGATTTTTACTCTGTTGGCTTTTGGGATCATGGCAGGCTTACGATGTCGTTCATCTGGTGCTTTTGTTTTACAGATATGTATTTTAATTCAAAATAAAAGCAAATGATAATGGTTAAAGTTTAATTCGGTGTAGTAAAACTTTAAATAGTTTTAATATAATATTTTCTGTTTAACTTTGTTTTATTTCATTCGCGGTTTGAAATAACTTAATGCATCATTAAGATAAAACAGCCGTTTTGTTGTGCAATATGATAATCATATATATTCATGACATTAAACATTAAATCAATTAAAAAAAAACAACAATTCAACATTATCGACAGTTAATTTCGCATATTTTCCCACAATGTATTTGGGCTTTTCTCATAACATGGCTACAGAGCTCACATATCTGAGAAATGCTGAAACTTTCTGACTGTGTTTATACTTGTATTTGTTGTAAATGTATAAATAAATGTATCATTTTGCTCATATTTTGCACTTAAAGTTAACCGATTTTTATTCAATATTTGAAACACGCCGCTGTTCTTTTTCATTTTGATTAGACAACCTCCTAGCCAGTCCATGAATAAGAAGATGTAATAATAACGACACTAGGACATCTTTTTATGACGTCACAGTTACTTTAAAAATGACCTACTATCATAGAATCGTGCCATATCAGTACCATTGAAGAATATACAAACAAGTCATATTTTAACAGTTACTTCAAATATACTACCTAAATTAAATCGCTTGATTACTGTTTGATTCCACGCATGTCAGGTGTTAATCAGAAAATCGATTGCTGAAAGAGATTCGGAGATGTTTGTTTCATTAAGTGAGCATTCATTGATCACGGATATAACACATAGTTAGAGAACAGCGTTATCAATAATGCATACTTAATATGAAGCTTGCCAGAACTCGCTGTAGGTCATCTCTCCGTATCAATTATCAACATGTCGAACATCTCTTATACTAAGCTACCTTTTTGACGGCTCATCTAAATTAGAAATTTAAGTCTCTTGAGGATGATGATAAAGAATTGATTCGAATCCAATAAGTCAAACAACAAAGGGGGCTGGTGGGATTTACATTTACCATTGTATGTGACGGCAGTGTAAATCATCATGTGATACTCCTAACAATGACACACACAGTCATCCCGTCGTTTCAAATCTATATGTAAATCTACCGATAATTGTTTGTTTAAATCATATCCTATTGCTTTTGAATAATGTATACAAATACAGATATATTATTGATCATTAAAATATTTCTAGTACGTAGAAACTTAACAGTGATTAGGATGTTAGAGGCCTTTGTACGGCTCCCAAACGTGTATATTCTACAGTTGTATTTTGTTTTAGCACGACAAACACACATACTAAGATAGATGTCACACATGTGGAAAAGGTGTTATCTCAATCGGACCTAAAGATGAAATTTACGTATTTTGTAGACTTTTTTCTTTCTTTCCAATAACACAAATCATAATGGTATTTCGCTTTGGTGATGAACCCGAGGTGTTTTTCTCTGATGCTGACCCCGAGTTGTTTCTCTCTTATACTGACCCCGAGGTGTTTTTCTCTGATGCTGACCCCGAGGTGTTTCTCTCTGATGATGACTCCGCGGTGTTTTTCTCTGATGAAGAACCCGTGGTGTTTTTCTCTGATGATGATCCCGAGGTGTTTTTCTCTGATAATGATCCCGAGGTGTTTTTCTCTAACGATGACCCGGAGATGTTTTTCTCTGATGAAGAACCCGAGGTGTTTTTCTCTGATGATGATCCCGAGGTGTTTTTCTCTAACGATGACCCGGAGATGTTTTTCTCTGATGAAGAACCCGAGGTGTTTTTCTCTGATGATGACCCCGAGGTGTTTTTCTCTGATGATGACCCCGAGGTGTTTTTCTCTGATAATGATCCCGTGGTGTTTTTCTCTGATGATGATCCCGTGGTGTTTTTCTCTGATGATGACCTCGAGGTGTTTTCCTCTGATGATGACCCCGAGGTGTTTTTCTCTGATGATGACCCCGGGGTGTTTTCTCTGATGATGACCCCGAAGTGTTTTTCTCTGATGATGACCTCGAGGTGTTTTTCTCTGATGATGACCCCGAGGTGTTTTTCTCTAACGATGACCCGGAGATGTTTTTCTCTGATGACGAACCCGAGGTGTTTTTCTCTGATGATGACCCCGAGGTGTTTTTCTCTGATGATGACCCGGAGATGTTTTTCTCTGATGAAGAACCCGAGGTGTTTTTCTCTGATGATGACCCCGAGGTGTTTTTCTCTGATGATGACCCCGAGGTGTTTTTCTCTGATGATGACCCCGAGGTGTTTTTCTCTGATGATGATCCCGAGGTGTTTTTCTCTGATGATGATCCCGTGGTGTTTTTCTCTGATAATGATCCCGAGGTGTTTTTCTCTGATGATGACCCCGAGGTGTTTTTCTCTGATGATGACCCCGAGGTGTTTTTCTCTGATGATGACCCCGAGGTGTTTTTCTCTGATGATGACCCCGAGGTGTTTTTCTCTGATGATGACCCCGAGGTGTTTTTCTCTGATGATGACCCCGAGGTGTTTTTCTCTGATGATGACCCCGAGGTGTTTTTCTCTGATGATGACCCCGAGGTGTTTTTCTCTGATGATGACCCCGAGGTGTTTTTCTCTGATGAAGAACCCGAGGTGTTTTTCTCTGATGATGACCCCGAGGTGTTTTTCTCTGATGATGACCCCGAGGTGTTTTTCTCTGATGATGACCCCGAGGTGTTTTTCTCTGATGATGACCCCGAGGTGTTTTTCTCTGATGATGACCCTGAGGTGTTTTTCTCTGATGATGACCCCGAGGTGTTTTTCTCTGATGATGACCCCGAGGTGTTTTTCTCTGATGATGACCCCGAGGTGTTTTTCTCTGATGATGACCCCGGGGTGTTTTCTCTGATGATGACCCCGAGGTGTTTTTCTCTGATGATGACCCCGAGGTGTTTTTCTCTGATGATGACCCCGAGGTGTTTTTCTCTGATGATGACCCCGAGGTGTTTTTCCCCTTAACATGACTCATGTATTTATCTTTTTTTGTTTATAGCCTTATGGTAACATATATAGTCGGCACATCACATTTATGAATAACGTATCATCCAAGCTGTAAAACAGATTATCAATACCCGTAAAAGTCATCGCCATTCAGCACAAAAATCTGCCATTGTAAATAAAGTCCTGTAATATATACTTTTCAGGACGAAACGAAAGGTAATAAAAATTTCCAGCTTTTTAGGTCGTTAATAAATGAATGTCATGCAGATGTATACATGTAATGAGGACAGACTATATTTATAAAAGCAGCCGGTGATATCTTTAGAAATTGGCGTTCAAACTGATCACTATCAAACATGACTTAATTACCCTTCTAACATTTCTGTGTATTGTTGAAAAAAACCACGCACACACACACAAAAACAAACTTGCAAATGATACCTTATATCTTATTCATCCTCTGACGTTTGAAAATGATCAATTATTCAACCGTGTCTGATAGTGACTGCACATTGTTTGATATAGCAATAGCGTGGGATACTTGTAATTTAGACCTGTTAATTTTCTAGCTTATGTTAAATGGAAATGATCACTCACAGAAATGGTTGATTCTGTCGGGGAAGAGCCAGATTCCAGTGTTCACGTAGAATTGCCATGCATGATTCTTTCACCAAACCAGCCTTGCATTGTTATTTGGATGTGCTTAGCATACTGTGTGTTTAACCATCCGGTCAATATTTCTATGACGTGTGACAGGTGTCCTTGTTGTGAACGGAGTAGGAAGAGCAAGCCTAACCTGACCATTAATCGGAGATGTTCGACCATTGCTTAATAATGCTAATCTTTTATTAGTCATGTAGACCACAAACTTCATCATGGTGTGTGAAATTTATTCGTGACGATGTTGTTCGAAAGGATCGACGCATGTGAATGGTTTTTTTTTATTTTCACAGTCACGAGTTGCCTACTTGGGAATTTTGGACGTTCCGAATTTCTGCGATTAGGTAAGTACAATCAACAACTCAGATTGGTCATACGCATTCATCAATACTCATCATGTAGGCAAGACGGAGTGGTTAAAACTTAATGGTGTGGGACAACATTTTACCATTAAATCATCTATATCGTTAAGGTTGGAAATCTATTGTCGGAATCAATTTCGTTTTATTTCGATATCGGGTCCATTGTCATTCAGGTTAAACGCTATTTTGGTTGTAACACACGAGAACAAACTGTATTGGCAATATTTCTTTCTGTGGTAGATGCTAGAAATGTCATTAGAATGTTTCTGTAAAATCGATAGAGCAGAATGACACGGTTTTACCATTGATCTGTATTCCTTTTGTAATTGTCATTTGTCATGACATGTTCAGGTTTCAGTAAATATAACTTAATTAATCATTCGAACACCGCAGTATCTAAGGGTGGATAACACATGCCATGTTTCTATAGTTTACCTTATATTTTTAATGGAGATGTAGGATATCTGTATAGTGGAGGTGTAGAATATCTTTATAGTTGAGGTTAGGATATCTGTATAGTTGAGGTGTAGAATAGCTGTATATTGGAGGTGTAGGATATCTTTATAGTTGAGGTGTAGGATATCTGTATAGTTGAGGTGTAGGATATCTGTATAGTTGAGGTGTAGGATATCTGTATAGTTGAGGTGTAGAATATCTGTATAGTTGAGGTGTATGATATCTGTATAGTTGTGGTGTAGGATATCTGTATAGTTGAGGTGTAGAATATCTGTATAGTTGAGGTGTAGAATATCTGTATAGTTGAGGTGTATGATATCTGTATAGTTGTGGTGTAGGATATCTGTATAGTTGAGGTGTAGAATAGCTGTATAGTTGAGGTGTAGAATATCTGTATAGTTGAGGTGTAGGATATCTGTATAGTTGAGGTTTAGAATATCTGTATAGTTGAGGTGTAGGATATCTGTATAGTTGAGGTGTAGAATATCTGTATAGTTGAGGTGTATAGTTGAGGTGTAGAATATCTGTATAGTTGAGGTGTAGGATATCTGTATAGTTGAGGTGTAGAATATCTGTATAGTTGAGGTGTAGGATATCTGTATAGTTGAGGTGTAGGATATATGTATAGTTGAGGTGTAGAATATCTGTATAGTTGAGGTGTATGATATCTGTATAGTTGTGGTGTAGGATATCTGTATAGTTGAGGTGTAGAATAGCTGTATAGTTGAGGTGTAGGATATCTGTATAGTTGAGGTGTAGGATATCTGTATAGTTGAGGTGTAGAATATCTGTATAGTTGAGGTGTATGGTATCTGTATATTTGAGATGTAGGATATCTGTATAGTTGAGGTGTGGGATATCTGTATAGTTGAGGTGTAGGGTATTTGTGAAATTGAGGTGTAGGATAGATATTTGTATAGTTGAGGTGTGGGATATCTGTATAGTTGAGGTGTAGAATATCTGTATAGTTGAGGTGTAGGATATCTGTATAGTTGAGATGTATGATATCTGTATAGTTGAGGTGTATGATATCTGTATAGTTGAGGTGTAGAATATCTGTATAGTTGAGGTGTAGGATATCTGTATAGTTGAGGTGTGGGATATCTGTATAGTTGAGGTGTGGATATCTGTATAGTTGAGGTGTGGGATATATGTATAGTTGAGGTGTGGATATCTGTATAGTTGAGGTGTGGGATATCTGTATAGTTGAGGTGTGGGATATCTGTATAGATCTAGGATATCTTTTTTGGTAAATCCTTTTCGCGTGTACCATACCGTTAAGTACTAAAATACATTTGATAGACACATTCGACATATTTATAACTATTAAACACGAATTGTTTGCAGAACTGAGGACTGTACAAATAACACTAATAATGAAATTAGTTGAATCATTTATGTAAACAGCTGTTTCGTCCTTCTAGGACTCGTCAGTGTTGCTAAGAGTCTTAAGTGTTGAAACCTTGGAGGCAACTGAGGAAAACCAAAATTGATTGAAAGAAAAAGTACAATAAGGCCCCGGTTGTTTAAAATCAGTGGCTAATGAAAATCTTCATAAACATAAATTAAACAAACTTGGAAACACTATTTATCATTTCACACCTGTAGGTTTGTTGAGACAGGTCAGATTGATATATAGAGTATTAATTTTGTAGGTAACACTCTTGTTTGTTCACCTAAAACAACCCAAAACTGACTTAGTAATTTTGGTAACCATAAATCTGTTTCAAGGCAAAAATGCGATAATTATTTGTAAACATAGATTAAGCATATGGAACCGTGTCCAAACGGTCTTGACAAAAGAACTAATGTTTAGATGCGGATGGAAATTGGATGTCCGGTTATACGGTGCTAAGTTGACATTAGGGTTGGCACTGTGATCATACCTGAGGAATCCGATTATTTATATAGCCGATTACTGCTTATCTGGATTAAGTATACTGGCAACGATCTGAAGCGATTATAATTATTACTGAAGGGGACATCGCTGAAATGAATGATTCATCAGGGAAATTATAGATAAAGACATATTGTAATGCGTTTGTTAGGTTTCTGTTAAACGTCATCGCAACAGCCATGGTTAAATGAAGACAGGGCAAGTTTGTAGGACACAAAGTACAGAGGAAACATACAGTCAACAAAAAAGAGGGATGGACATCAAGAGTGGAAGATAAAGCACAGAAAGAAAGAGTAGACAGGAGAGAAAAAGGGACAGTAAGGGTGGGAAATAAAACACAGAAAGAATGAGTAGACAGGAGAGAAAGAGGGACACCAAGCGTTAGAAATAAAACACAGAAAGAAAGAGTAGACAGGAGAGAAAGAGGGACACCAAGGGTGGGAAATAAAAACACAGAAAGAATGAGTAGACAGGAGAGAAAGAGGGACACCAAGAGTGGGAAATAAAGCACAGAAAGAAAGAGTAGACAGGAGAGAAAGAGGGACACCAAGAGTGGGAAATAAAACACAGAAAGAAAGAGTAGACAGGAGAGAAAGAGGGACACCAAGAGTGAGAAATAAAAACACAGAAAGAAAGAGTAGACAGGAGAGAAAGAGGGACACCAAGGGTGGGAAATAAAGCACAGAAAGAAAGAGTAGACAGGAGAGAAAGAGGGACACCAAGGGTGGGAAATAAAGCACAGAAAGAATGAGTAGACAGGAGAGAAAGAGGGACACCAAGAGTGAGAAATAAAACACAGAAAGAAAGAGTAGACAGGAGAGAAAGAGGGACACCAAGGGTGGGAAATAAAACACAAAAAGAAAGAGTAGACAGGAGAGAAAGAGGGACACCAAGGGTGGGAAATAAAACAGAAAGAATGAGTAGACAGGAGAGAAAGAGGGACACCAAGAGTGAGAAATAAAGCACAGAAAGAAAGAGTAGACAGGAGAGAAAGAGGGACACCAAGGGTGGGAAATAAAAACACAGAAAGAAAGAGTAGACAGGAGAGAAAGAGGGACACCAAGGGTGGGAAATAAAACAAAGAAAGAAAGAGTAGACAGGAGAAAAAGAGGTACACCAAGAGTGAGAAATAAAAACACAGAAAGAAAGAGTAGACAGGAGAGAAAGAGGGACACCAAGAGTGAGAAATAAAGCACAGAAAGAAAGAGTAGACAGGAGAGAAAGAGGGACACCAAGAGAGAGAAATAAAAACACAGAACGAAAGAGTAGACAGTAGAGAAAGAGGGACACCAAGAGTGAGAAATAAAGCACAGAAAGAAAGAGTAGACAGGAGAGAAAGAGGGACACCAAGGGTGGGAAATAAAAACACAGAAAGAAAGAGTAGACAGGAGAGAAAGAGGGACACCAAGAGTGAGAAATAAAGCACAGAAAGAATGAGTAGACAGGAGAGAAAGAGGGACACCAAGAGTGAGAAATAAAGCACAGAAAGAAAGAGTAGACAGGAGAGAAAGAGGGACACCAAGGGTGGGAAATAAAAACACAGAAAGAAAGAGTAGACAGGAGAGAAAGAGGGACACCAAGAGTGAGAAATAAAGCACAGAAAGAATGAGTAGACAGGAGAGAAAGAGGGACACCAAGGGTGGGAAATAAAAACACAGAAAGAAAGAGTAGACAGGAGAGAAAGAGGGACACCAAGGGTGAGAAATAAAACAAAGAAAGAAAGAGTAGACAGGAGAAAAAGAGGGACACCAAGGGTGGGAAATAAAGCACAGAAAGAAAGAGTAGACAGGAGAGAAAGAGGGACACCAAGAGTGAGAAATAAAGCACAGAAAGAAAGAGTAGACAGGAGAGAAAGAGGGACACCAAGAGTGAGAAATAAAGTACAGACAGAAAAGTAGACAGGAGAAAAAGAGGGACACCAAGGGTGGGAAATAAAGCACAGAAAGAAAGAGTAGACAGGAGAGAAAGAGGGACACCAAGGGTGGGAAATAAAACACAGAAAGAAAGAGTAGACAGGAGAAAAAGAGGGACACCAAGAGTGAGAAATAATACACAGAAATTATGTAATTCTGGTTTATTCTAACACGCAGTATTGGTGGCAAGATTTATCTATTTGTATAAAGGTTTTGTGAAGTGTATTAAACGTTAGCAATAGACATTTGAGGAATCGAGTATTATATTTGATAGATGTGACACATTGTATATCGTCGAATTCACGTGACATTTGTGCTTAACTATCAGTGTGTATTATAAAATAACCAACATATTTACTTAATCAAATTAAGATTTTTGCGATGAATGAATTTTCAATAAGACTATCATAATTTTTGTAAATTGTTTTAAAAATTTAATGAGGGAAATATCCACCTGTAATTTCTATATATTGATTAAATATGCTTGGAGTTAAAAGGTGAGATAAACCTTTAATCCAGGTTTTCCAATCTGATTGTTATGAATTTTAATATAAATCGATGTCATGAATATAAATGACAACATTCACATTCAAATCATGAAGCTGAAAATTATCAGCATGATTCAATTTCACATGGCTGTGCATATCAATTAAGTTTTGCAAACTTTACCACAGTAATTACTACACTAAATGCTACATAATCGGCACAGTATTTAT